GTAAAAATTTTATTTAAGAAAATGAATATTGATGTCTTTATTCTTTCTCACTCTTAGTAAAAAAAATAATTTATTAATAATAAAAATGAATTGTATTTAAAAAAGTTCATAAAATTTAATTCAAATAATTCATATTTTAGCTACCAATCATGAATTTTCATTCGTCCGTTCACACACTTGAACACTTATTATATACGTTCATTCGAGTGATTGTTCATCCGAAAATAAAAAGATCTTAATGCTCACAAGAGGAGGGCAAAACACACTCATTCATGTTTATTATTTTACTTTTTCTTGTCCCATCAATTTAAATTTATTGTTTTAATTTCTATCACACCACTTTTAACAATCACATTTTATCTACTATACATTCAGAACTTCAAAATATAATAAATTCACAAATACACATTCTTTTATAATACAGTTATCTATAAACAAATTATTGCTATTTTGCTATTGCAGCCTCCGCCGTGACCAGCTCTAGCTCCCATATATCTTCATAGAGCAAATTTATTTTATCTTTTAAAAAGACTGAANAAATCCTTACGGTTTGATATTTCTAGTAAAATCAATTACCATTAAATATGAAAAAAGACATAACACTGACTATAAAAAAGGTTGCACTTCACAGTTGGGCCGTAGGGGTAACCAAAACATTCTATTCCACAGGCATCCTCTACCCCCAAAAGCTACAATTTATTAACATCACAACTTCTCGTTTGACTAGTTTAACCGTTGGAAAAATCCATTCCTCCTACATTTTTAACAAACGTACATATTTATATTTATTATATGCTGTGAAATATGTTTTTTACATTGTTTTTTAAAAGTATATTGAAAGTTTAGGTCTGGCTTACCAATTAGCCTTATTACATCCAGATAAAAATTCTACTTCCCTTCAAGCATCATCGATCCTCACCATTTTTCACAGCCTGCTCTTCTTCACAGGCCCCATCTCCTTGGCCTTGGCCCTCAACAAATGCTTCTGTATTTTCCCGGTCGCCGTTTTCGGCAGAGGCCCGAACACCACCGACTTGGGAATCCAATAGCCCGGCATTCTCTCCCGCGCGAACTTCGTTATACTCTCCGCCACCCCTTTCTCGTCCGAACCATCCACACCCGGCTTCAACGTCACGAACGCGCAAGGCGACTCGCCCCACCGCTCGTCGGGCCGGGCCACGACCGACACCTCGAGAACCGCTTCGTGTTGGTAGAGAACATTCTCCACCTCGACGCTACTAATGTTCTCGCCTCCCGAGATAATCACGTCCTTCGACCGGTCCTTGATTTCGATATAACCGTCCGAATGCTTCACGGCTATATCTCCCGAGTGGTACCAACCCCCGGCAAAAGCCTCCTCGTTCGCTTTCGGGTTTTTCAAATACCCTTTCATGACGACGTTGCCTCGGAACACGATTTCTCCCGTCGACTTCCCGTCGGGTGGAACGGGCCTCATTGTTTGGGCTTCCACGACGTCGAGGCCCTCGAGGCCCACGTAGCGGACACCCTGACGTGCGGCCATGCGGGCCCGGGCCTCGGGGGGTAGATTGTCCCACTCGGGCTTCCACGCGCATATGGTGGACGGGCCGTAGGTCTCGGAGAGGCCGTATGTGTGGGTGACTTTGAAGCCGCGTCTCGACATCTCGAGGATGACGGAAGGGGGTGGGGCCGCGCCGGCGGTCATGACGTGGACAGGGCGCGGGAGGGGGAGGGTTGTTTCGTCTTTCGGCGCGTTCACGATGCTGTTGAGGACGACGGGGGCCGCGCAGAAGTGGGTCACGCCGAGGGTAGCTATGGCTGAGTAGACGGCCTTTGGTGTGACCTGTACAAACCCGAACATTTTTTAAACAACCGATCAAATAATAAGGCAAAATTGTAGTTTTTGTCCTGCTGGTTTAACTTCGTAGCAATTTTAATCCCAAGATTCCAACATTTCGGTTTAATATTTTTCAAAATAACAAGGAATAAAATTGCAATAAATTCCGAAATTCACAAATTTTCAATTAGCATTTTGAGTCCGGTAATTTAAAATTTTATTTCAATTTCAATTCTCAAAGAGGACTAAATTACAGCAAAATATTAAATCACATGACCAAAAGGCGAAAAATTGAAACTAAAATAGTTATGGCATTAAACCAACATTTTTGCCATCAAATAATCATATATTACAACAAAGAAAAACCATATCAAATGCTAACATAAAAGTATTCCTCAATCACCTGTCTGAGGCAAATGCTGGTAGCACAAAGGGCAGCAAGAGTCCAAGGGAAACACCAACCGTTGCAATGAAACATAGGCAAAGTCCACAAGTAAACAGCTCCTTCCGTAATCCCCCACACGATAGCATTACTAATTGCCATAACATAAGCCCCTCGATGGTGCAAGACCACGCCCTTGGGACTCGATGTCGTGCCCGAGGTGTAACCCAAAGCAATGCTATACCACTCGTCCTCGGGAGGTTTCCACTTGAATTCCGGGTCTCCGGTTTCTAGAAACTTCTCGTACTCGATTGCTCCTCCAGAGAGCGCGTGTTGGAGGGATTTTTTGTCGCAGTTTTCATCTCCGATGACGATTAGAGTCGGGGGCTTGAATTCGCCTCTGCTTTGGTCCGCTGTGATTTTCAGAGCCTCCTCTGCTAGGGAATAGTATTCTTGATCGACCATTATAACGTTTGAATGTGAATGTCCCAAGAGAAATGCGACTGTTTGGGCATTCAGACGGATGTTGATGGCGTTTACAACGGCACCGGACATGGGAATCCCGAAATGAGCTTCGAACAGGGCTGGGACATTTGGCGCAATTACTGCTACCTATTTTTCGAAATTGATTATGAAAAGGGGAGAGTTAAAAATTCGATGAAATGTGCATGTAATGTGTCCGTAGAACAACTTTGAATTACAACATCATGGTTCTTGTTTCATAGTATCAGCAAACGCCAGGTATATCATAAGCAGCAGAGAATGTGAAAATATGACGACAACATATAGAAGCAGAAATTTCGGCCACTACTGTAACGAAATGCAAAGTGCATCCCAAATAGTTTGATTCTTGGACAGAAAATTGAAGTTTATATGGATACAAACTTTATTAATCACGTACCGTAGTTCTTTAGTTTGGCTACTACTCTTTTCACAAATAATGTCATACTTTAATAACAACATAAAGACAAGCATGACGTTTGATAGTTTATGCATGCACTTTTGTTCAGAGTACAACATATCGAGTCTAACAGTTAGGCGGCCTAATACAAGAATATGTGAATCACGTATGATCATGTTGCTTGTTTGCTCACTTGCCTTAATGTGTTTCCGGTGATTGCTTTATTTTAATAGATAAACGTGACAAAGAGAGAATAAGTAGCTCTTATTTTATACATTCACTTAGATATGTAGATACTACCCAGCATGAAAGAGATCACCTGTCAAAAATCCAACATAAAATTAAAAATAAAAAATAAAAAATCACATGCTTTGGAAATTCGGATTCGCAATCAAACGAAACATCACGAAAAACGATGATCGATGGAAAAAGCGAACAGAGTTTCTAACATTCTCAAAAGTAGAATTTAAAATGAAATGATTTTAAAGGAATTAATCAAATCTACCACTTTAATCATCGAGTTAACCACACAAACTACAAATCTACTAAATAAAATCAATAATCATCCTCAAAATCCAAATCCCCAAAAAGGGATCTCATCACAGCCATTAATAATCAAAAGAATACACATCATCTCATATGAACAACTGCTTGAATTCTTCAAAATTATGTAACATCAACATCACTCACAGTGCTGGCGGAAGTGATGGAGAGCTTCGTGAGGGCCGATGCCAGCTGGCGGCACCGCCGGTAAGTTTCCCCCCACGTGAATTTGACGGAGCCATGGATCAGAGAAATTCGGGTCGGGTGAACAAGCGCCGCCCGATCCAGGAACCAGAGCGGCGTCAGGGGTGTGTAGTTGGCCGGATTCCGGGGCAGATCGTCTATGTCTCTCGGTGCGACCGCCATGGCCCGTGTGGCTGAGTCACGTACTGAAGCTTTTTGTGAGTTGATAAATGTATGTAAATTGTCCCTTTATATAAATGCACCAACTTTTCCAAATTTCGTAATTATATATTATGTTTATTTTATAATGCTATTCGTAATAATTATATACATCGATTTTGATTGTTTGTACGTTTGTGTATAAATTTGGAGTCAAGTTTTGGCTATGTCTCAATTTCTCAATATGGTAATTATATACAAAGATTTCTGATGGATTATATAATGTTGTCTATTAATTTGAGTCAAGTGGATATGTGTCAATTTGTCAATTTTGGAATTAGGTGGCAATTTGTCAATTTTGGAATTAGGTGGCAATTTGTCAATTTTGGAATTATATAGCTCGGTGGTTTCTGATGGTTGATAAGTTGTGTATTAATTTGATGTCAAGTTTGGCTATGTCAATTTCTCAAATTTTAGTACACAAATTCTTGTACTGAGCCTCGTAATCGTTAAGCGAGTTGACTTGTCATATTTTTTTAAAAAAAATTATATAATTGTAATATTAAATGGTATATTTCTATTTATATTGTTCTATTTATATTGTTTTGTAGAATATGACATTTGAGTTTGAAAGTATGAATATTGTTGAATATGAGGGTTTAACAGATATGCCTATGTGCCAATTTTGGTGATGTCAAAATAGTTCATACATATCTCAGCTTCTATTTAATACCTTTAAAACTATAAATCGGATGACTAATTTAAATTATAAATATATTTTTTTCATTTATTGTGAGCTTTTTTTATGTGATGTCTTAAATTAATCGTTGTTGGCAAATTTCAATTTGACATTCATATTGTATATAAAAAATAAATATTTATTTTACCTTTTATAATAAGGTTAGATTATCAATCAACATTAATTGAAGCGTAATCAAATTATTTTTAATTAAAAAAATTTATCTATGAAGTATATTATCTCATGAATTAGAAAATTTTTGTTATAGTATAACATGGATAAGTCAGTATAGGTGATTGGTCTCATTATAAGAATTTGTAAATTTTTATTCTAACCAGAAAAGGACCAGTATCAAACCTTAATTTTGTGCAGTTATGTTCAATTCATTCATGGGGACATNCATACTCAATTAATTAGTTGCCAATACTCAATTAACCATAATTAATTACAAGCCCATACTAAATCTAACCAATTATACGATTGTAATATTATTATCTAATTATTAGATATTCATGCTTTTTTTTTTTACAAAACTATATATTTTTTTTTATACAAAAATTGCATATTTGCATATTTAAAATCAGAAATGTCATATTTTCTTTATGTTAGATCATATTCTGAAATGTCACATTTTTCTTTTTGTTATATTTTAAAATATGACATATGAGTATGAAAACATATATTTTATTGTAAGAGTATTGTCTAACCATTAGACAAACATCCATACTTTCTAACAAAGTTGGTGAAATACCATATTTTCAAGTATGACATTTGATAGAGCCAACAGTTGACTCCAGCTCCAGCATTATTGTGACATTTGAATATAAAACTGTGTATATTACCTTGGAAGATTGATTGTCTAACATTAGGCAAGAATCCCAACTAAACAAATATCCTGCTGGAATTAAATATTCCATATTTTCTATCAATCAATATTTTCTATCAATCAAACAAAACTTAACAAATGCAAGCAATAACTTTCCTCCTCTTCATTTTGGGCTCTTGATTTTCTTTGAGATTAAATAATTTGCTAGTTAGCAATCACATNCCAAGCACACAAAACAATTGCCTGAAAACACCCCCACACTATACTTTAGTCATTGCAAAAACAAAAGTCTTCATCAACTTAACACACAAAAGATATTTCACATGGCCAGTGATGAAAAAACAGTGAATGAAAAATTTTCCACAACTCTACTAAATGTACTGAGACATCCACCTGAAGCCCTCGCCGTAGCCCATTTTCCGTACAATGCTGCACATGAAGACCTCGAGCGGGCGGACATTACTGTTGGAAAGGTCGATTTTGCCCTTACCTGTGGTCAGATCCATTAGGCCCATGTAGTAGCGCAGCTCGTCCTCTGAGGCTGCATACGGCAGATCAATCTTGTTTCCGAGTATGAGAAAGGGGACATTTGCTAAGGAATCGTCTGATAGAAGAGCATCGAGCTCTTTTTTCGACTCGGCAAATCTTTCCTTGTCATAAGCGTCCACAAGATACACCACGGCATCAACCTATAGTTAATTTTAATATTTCTTAAAGCACAAAATCTATTGATTAATGATAATGCATAAAAATCTTTTGTATGTCTTAATATCATTCAAGGGAAGAATGCATTAGGATGTGCTGAATGTAAGAGAACAAAAGTGTAAATGATATTTGCAAGCAATTTTTTNTCTATTACGAATTGCGGTCCAAAGAGGAAAATAATTTACAAAATTCCGATTCATGGCTATAAATTATAATTGATGCAAACTACTTATTTCGTTTATTCGTTGCAAAACTAGCGTCATAGAGCGGGCACTATCAGATTCCAAAACTTCAAGAGGAATGTTCGCAGATTATAGAAAATAATGAAAAGGAAAGAACTAAAGAAAGAAAACAAAAGGAAAAATAATTTCAGATTCGAGCTTAAGAACAAGTTAAAGGCTCGCTTCACGATTCTTACACTAGCAATGCAACTTCTCACCAGGACAAGAAATCTCATGCTTAGCTAAAGCTTAAAATTATGAAGTGCAACATATAACCAATCCCATTATTCACCATGCACTTTCGTGACAAATAAGCTAAAAAGAGAATTTTTCTAATTGTGCAAATGAATATTAACCTTCGCGTAATAATCTCTCCAGACCCTTCGAGCAATCTGGTGACCACCCAAATCGAAAGCTTTGAACTTAATTTTCCCAATACTCAATTCTTCAGATGTCGGATACTGAGTTGGTTGGTGTTGAACCAGCCTCTGCACGCAAAATTCAACCTATTAGATATCACTCGAGCACCATATGACAAATGGTTGTTTTAATTGTCACTAGAGATACCTACAGAGAATCTCAGATTATGCTGGACAAAAATTATCAATATTTTCAAACAGACCCTGCAATGGTAAAAAGTATATGGAGTGCTTTGAGGTTCAATATTCAGCAAATTCAACCCTACCCTGTGGGCATTGCCCTCACGAGGGTTTTAATCATCCGATAACAATCAAACGATTAAAACCTCTGAGGATTGGTAGGGGTATAATTCACCCTAAAATTATTTTTTCTGATGTCATTATTAAAGTTTCTTCACAACTTCTCCACAAAATACTTTCTTTTAACAAACTCAGCTCTTTTAAAACATAACCACTCATTAGCAATCCTAGCTTCTCCCATAAGAATGGAATCTTTCAAGCTTTCATGATATATCACTCACTACAAACACATGCACATAATTACGAAAAAAAAAAGGCATAGCAGCAACTTGAAATTATACAGCATCTCTACCTTCAAAGAAAAATCAACCAACACCAAGGTAAAAAGGACATATACTCACATACAGACACACAAGAAAACTTCTAATAACGTTAATCAGTACCCAAAATCATTGAATAAAAGGAGAAAATACACTCAGAAGAAAAGTAATCAAACAACAGAAGCATTAAAAACCTCATCTTTTAGCATATGGAGCAAAGTAGTTTTCCCCGCATTATCCAGACCCAGAAACAGAATCTTGGCCTCTTTCTGGTACAAACCCAAAGATGCTAATATCCCATAAAACCAATCCAAAAGAAACATCTTTTTTCGTCTCCCCCTTTTATTCAGCACAGGACTTCAAATCTATCAACAGAAAAAATAAAACAAACGAATTTTGCTCAATCGAAGCAAGAAAAAGTATCGAAAATATCGAAAAAGTATCTTTTCTTCTCTTTTTTATTTTTTTTTTTTCTTTTGATTTTATTCCTATTCGGGTCAATGTAGGGAGTTGGTGACTTTCTGAGCCGGTGAAATATTGCTGCTGAGTGGTGACGTGGCGGGTAAGGTGACCGACGATAACCTGTTTACAAAGCTTTGTAGGTCACGTGGAAGGCTGCTATTGGATGAAGCGCGTCATCGAGACGAGTGTGTTGTGTGTACATGGAGAAATTTTATGGTGCGGCGGTTGCATCAACGCCAACATAAAAGTCCGATTATTAAAAGAAAAGATTATGGAAGGAGATTTTACCCCAAGTGCGCACAGCCGCACAAACATTTATGTCTCCAATCCCGTCAAGCCCATTAACAACAAACCTAAATTCTCCATCTGGCCCAAAAAAAAAACCCAAAACCCATAAGGCCCACACCAAAACTAGGGTTTATGACCAGTCTTCACCATCACTTTTCATTTCTCAGCTCTCAGATCCACCAGTCGCGCCGTACTAAAAAACAAAGGTACAACAATCCCATCAATTTGATCCCTTGTTGCTTGCGTTTATGCGTCTCTGTGCATAGATCTTGCAGTTATCTTTCTCATTTACTACTTTTTTGTTTTTCTGCTTTTTTGACCTAATCAGATCTTCGAACCGCTGAAAAATGGCGAAATCGAAGAACCACACGGCGCACAACCAGTCGTATAAGGCCCACAAAAACGGGATCAAGAAGCCCAAGCGCCATCGTAACACCTCGACCAAAGGGGTATGAAAATTTGATTCCTTTATCCGCTATCTATATTCACTGCGTGGTGTGCTGTTCAGTACATGTCTGCAATTTTCACTTGATTTTTTTTTCTGTTTTAATTTTTTATTTTTGTTGATATGTAGATGGACCCGAAGTTTCTGAGGAATCAGAGGTACGCGAGGAAGCATAACAGCAAAAGCGGTGATGCTGGTAGCGAGGAGTAAATTTGGATTCTTGTTTAAGAATTAGTCCTTTAAATATGTTGACCAAGACGTATCTTTGCACTAGCCATTGGTAAAATTTCTCAGCTTTGAAGTTTAATATCGCTCTTTAGGATTGTGAGCAAGACATCATTCGTGTACGAGCCAGCAGATTTGAATTTTCAATTCATGTTTTGGGATTGTTGAGCAAGACCTAATTGTTGAGCAAGACGTCATTTTTGCAGCTTTTAAATTTGAATTCAAGTTTTAGGATTTCTAATGGTGATGGCTGACAGTACTATTTTTACTTATCGAGATGAGTTCTTGTTAGACTTATTTTACTTGGTCTCAGGTGCATTTCATTCTAACTGCATTGTTGTTATATTTTTCATGTGAGCTATGGCGTTTGGGAAAATGTGTTGTT